AATATAGATTTATTTGCTAAATTTCTAAATTCTCAAGCTTATCAATATGCAATTGATAGATTATATATAGTTTATAGATCATTTAATATAATTTATAAACTCTTTATTTTATAAATAATTTAAATACTATATTTATTTAGGTCTTAGTTCGTTAGTAAAACTATTTCATAAGCAAACTAGTTTTTAAAAATTTCAATTTTAATCTTTATTTTCTTTAATCGGACTCAACCAGATCACAGAACTTGTTTCAATAATTATTTGGGCGTTTGTAACAAGCCACTTCATTGTCTAGTATTATTGTTATTAACTGAATGAACTTACAATTGTCATGATCTATCCCTATAAATTATATTAATAAATAGAAATTCCGTATTAAAATTATAGGAAATTTAGCTTTAATGCTATTTAACTTATATTAAAAATAAATTAAATATGATCCTGTAGGAAAATAACTAATTTGAATATTAAAGGGGGCAAATCACTTTCGGTCTGACAGAACGATATCCAAAATTGAAGTTCGTGGCGTCCTTTATACCAAGAGAATGAGGTTAATTATTTTAACTACAAATCCGGTTTCACGATTTGTTAATCGTGATCAACTCGTGATCGTCGAAATCAAAATTAGCCAATTATAAGCAATTTATAGCATTTAAATTTAATTATGTAGTATTACTATTAAAGATAAACATAAGATAGGAAATTTGTTATGTAAATTCTTGGCTAAAACTGAAATTGAGAGCAACTATTACTATTATTTCTAACAAAAAAAAACGAAATATATAAAGGTCTCCATATCTAGTAGAACCTTAAATAATGGCCAAGTTTTACGGTGTTTAGAGGTTTAGAATAAAAGAAAACGTGAATAAATAAATAAATATTTGTGAAAATAATAATATTGTTGTGATATTTCGAACTTTAAAATGTAGCAAACTGTGTATAATTGTAATACCGATCATTGTTTACTGTATTTTTGACGTATTTTTTTAACGTTTGATTTATATTATTTGAATATATGTGTTACGTAATAAGGTTATTCTTTATTCTAAATCATTCACAGAGTATACTTTTGCGTATTCAAGTAGGACTATCAGCATATTTGTCATATTTATAACTATAGAATGCGTGACAGATCGTGAAAAGCAGAGAAATCTTAAGAACAATAGAAAAGCAGGAAATGGAACGTTGCATTGTTTCCCTATGTCGTCAAATAAGAAACAAAAATCATAAAATTCTTATATAAAGATATAGAAATTTTTCCACTTGTCTGAATTCTTACAGAAGATAAAATATGAACTANTTCGAAAAATCTCATTTTCTGTAACCTGTCACTTGAATACAATATACGTATAAAACACAATTGTATCTTAAAATTATTTATCCAGAAAAATAAATTATTAATTTTTTTTTATTTAGAACAAATTAATTTATAATAAAATTGATAAAACGCAAAAGTCAACGATGAAACAAAATATTGTGAGAAGTTCGAGAGAATATTCATAACTAGACTTTACTACTATTCAATTTTTATCTGATTTGCAAGGTTACATCTTTAAAATATTGTACTGTACATTCTCATAAGTATACTTTTTTAATACATCGGTATAGGTACGGTAATGGCGCGTGATATCTTGATGTTCTACATCACGTTTTATTAAAACAATTGAAGTCTTACTGATTGATGTTTTCGCTTCAAATAATTGATCTAGGACTACGTTTCATTTAAAATAAACATTACTTCTAGAAACTTGTAATTCCTTCAAACGAAAGCGTAAAAATTGTAGGGCCTGTATCTTGTCTTCTTTCATATGATTTATTGTTATGACTCCGGAACAAGAGTTTCTCGTGATTATATGTTTGAGCGTATGATTATGTTTTATGAAATGTTTGGCAAACTTGAAGAAATTCCCATTAACTTCCACGCTTTTTTTTCGATTTTAATCTCGGGCAGTGATCGCAAAGAATATTTTTAATTATATATTAATTTAAAATAAAAAATGCTAATAAATAATTATAACTCCGTGTAAGCAATTGTTTTTATTTCGAACAGGTTTTAAATTTTATTTATTTATTTATTTATTTTTCCTACGTAAAACTTAACGTTTTTATATCACGCAAATTTAATTTTGTTAATTTATTCGCCGATATTGATAACGGAATAGAACAATAGCAATCTCTTTACGAATTCCATCATCCACGATAGTCACGAGTTAAGAGAAATTATTTTCTTACTTATTCCGAAATACCTTTTATCCAATGATGCCATCTCTGAAAGTCTTTCATTTTGCTACAGAAGTCGCTACTAAATGTACAAAAGGCACGCAAGTGCTACCCCCTTACTACCACGAAAAGAACTCTAATGTCTCACACGTGATACTTAACATCACCTTATCGGTCAGGGCTGGGATGTCCCGCCTTTCTCAAACTGTTGGTCATATGCCCTCATTCCATTCCGTGTCCTTGACAACACTTCCCTAATAATAACGCCAAGTGAGATTAAAACGCCCAACATCACACCACGTAATTTAGATACATCTTCGTGATCTTCTTTTTTGTTCATTTAATAAATTTCTTAAACACTTAAAAATTTGTTTAAATATTTTTATTGTAAATTTAAAAAATAAATTTATAAAGGTTTAAAATTTTATATTTTAATTTTTAATTTTTAAATTTAAGTGGTTTTGTACTTTATGATCTTGTATTCTCTTTAAACGAGATTCTTTTCATAAAAGTGTAATTTTAAAAAAAGAAGGAGGGGGAAAAAGCTATTGATTCGTTTTCGCAGCTGTTTATTGTTAATTCAAACAACGTATACGCCCGAGGGAACAAAGTAAAAGCTTACCTAAACATCGTCAACTCTCACTTTCATTCTGAATAACAAAAAAAAAAAGATAAAATAATTCCATTTGGAAACAAATCACAATGCTTCCTATATATCATATTCTAGAAAATAAGCTTCGAATCAAATATAATGATAGCCGGTGCATATGATGAACATAATTACGGGGCAATCTCTTTGTATTTTGTGTCATATTAATAAAAAAATCTGTTACGCAATTTGATGGTCTTCATCTTTTCTTAAATTAAATTACCTAAAAAATCGTACTCTGAAATTACAAGCGTAAGTTAATCGTTCTGCAAATATAATATATATTCAATAAAATTATCTGATAAAAAATGGAACAGGTTTTCTTCAATAAACAAAAAAACTAGTAGGGTTTGCCTCCAGTTAGTAAACCCCTTTGTGATCCTTCATAAATCTTCATTAAATCGATTCATTTCGTAACATATCTCTCAATCTTAATCTATATTGTTATTCCATCATCGAGATTAGAGATGCCGACAAGTGGACTTTCCATTCTTTGTTACTTTCGTGTATTTACCGGAAATAGGACATCCCATAATGCCCGCGGTCAAACCAAGGTTGCAAAAATCAGGTTTCATCAGCCCATCCCATCTAACCGTGCGCTACTATCTGTTGCACGCTTAATTGAGGTACAAGGTAATCATCTGATAATGTCCACGATGAGAGAGTGGACAGTATATAAGACTGCTCACCGACCGTTTCAAACACACTCGAAGAAGCTTCTGGAAGAAAGAAATCATGAATATGGTGAGTTCAGCAATGCTTTGAAGAAAAATACATAGAAAATTCATAATATAATATTTTTCTTGAATATTTTAATATATAATAATATTGTAAATTTAACATTTTTGAAATTTTTTCAGCATTCGTTACATACTTTTAGTTTTAATACAATATCAAATTTAATTATTTTTTGTATAGAAAATATAATAAAATGCTAACGTTGAATTTTTCAGCTACCTCTATTTTTCGTTCTTATGGTGGTTGGATGCCAAGCAGGATATCAAACAGGAGGTTATAATCCTGGAGGAGCTGGCTATAATCCTGCATACTATGGCGCAGCTGCTGTGGGTTTCTTTAAGATAAGATTTTATTCGGAAAATTTCTATGTATATTAATTTATTTTCTATCGATTATAGGTTGCTAGACCTTATTATTCAGGACCAATTGATGAAAGCCCGAAGCCTTATGATTTCTCTTACGTTGCTCCAGCAATTGGAGGACAGAGTACTAGAAAAGAAACTGGAGATGGTTCGGGAAGAGTTGTAGGATCTTACACTTTGAACGATGACGATGGACGTTCAAGAGTTGTGGAATACGTTGCTGATGCAGGAGGTTTCCGTGCATCTGTAAAAACCAATGAACCAGGAACAAGAAGCGACAGCCCAGCTGATGTCGATTTCCAGTCCACAGCTCTCGATCCCTTTAAGCCAGGATTTCCTTTTGGACGTGGTGCTGGTGGCAGATATGCCGGACAGCCCTCTCATGCTTATCCACACTACGGAAGAGTCGGAGCAGCAACAGGAGCAGCAGGATATGCACCTGATGCATATCATGCTGCGGCATCAGGCTATAGCAATTCTATACATCATGGAGCTGGTAAATATGGGAGGGCTTGGTAACTTTTATAGAAAAATGGGAATTTTTGTTCAGTTTAACTAGTGGGCTGTCGGGGTTTTCTGGTTTTTTTTTGCGAAATGTTACGTGATACGTCAAGCATCATCATTTTTCGTGTTATTTTGCTTACAATTGTGTCTGTGATTATTTCCCACTATCGTTTATGTTTTATGTACAAAAATATGTTTAAATACTCATATAATCATCTGTGATAATACAAAATATGTATAATTTTAAATGCTTGAATAAAGATGCTTTGGAATATACGAATATATTTCTGTTTTTTGGTTTTCTAAATGAAATTTTATCATAACCTAATTTACTTCATGGTTAAACCAATCAAAATATTTACTTACTATTTAATTAAATTTATATTCAAAAAACAATATGAAAGTTTCAAATAACGATCGTTGTTGTTCATTCAATGTTATTTAGAATTTCTATATATTTAAGCTGTTTCATGACAGAACTTTAAATTTACAAACTCTTCTACTTCATAATCATAACATCTTACCTTAAAATCTATATAAGTTATATCTGTGTAACTGTTTATATTGCAAAAACGGTCTTCAAAACAAGCGCAAATTGACGCAAGATGACAATCAAAACATTAATATAAAACATACGAACACTTCTTTATATTTGAATCTTCTCGATGAGATCTGAAAGTTCTGTGACGTCGAATGTAATAAACGAGAAGTCGAACGATACAAAATACAAATAATTATTTTTTAACTTGATCTTTTCCTGTTTAAAACAATAAAAACTCCATTAGGTACTCAATCAGAATTTTCTTCTATTTTCAATACTTTTTTCTGTACATTTACTTACGTTCTAGACCTAATATTTAAGGATATAGAAATTATTTTTTGTCAAATTTTATTATTTAAAAAATATAACACAATTTTGAAGATATTTTGTTTGTTTTTAATTAAATGCTGAGGGATTAACAAATGTGAGTGTTTCGACTTTCGAGAAGTCCTACTTTAGTAAAAATACTATTAGAAAACTTTCAGATTTAAATCGCAATATGACAGTGACCAGAAAGTGTCGTTTTTACGCTTTAAATATATATATTTTGGATAATTCTATACATCCCAAGATAACAAAAAAACATAACAATTAATTAAACTTTTGTCTCGAATCATTCCTACATTTATTTTTATTTCATTGCTATTTTAAAACTGGTTCTTCAAGTACGGACTATACTTAAACAACTTGCGTGATTCACGCACAGTTCTTTTCAAATGTCCCGCAAACATCTCATCAAATGCAACATGTCAAAGAATTAATAAACAAGCAAATTTATTTTAAAATAAAATCTTTAAGTACGATAGGAACAATCTATTGAACGCATTGCATACACAATTCCAGTCATGATCACATATTAAATACATAAATATATTATTGTAATTTTTTCGAGTTAGTTCATAGATCATCAAATTTAACGACCAACGAGAAATCTGGCCTAATTGAACAAATGTGTTGATAGTAAATCTTTATTTTCCAAAAGTAATTAGTCCTGTAAAACGTTTCAGAAATATTTTATAAATATAAATCTGAGATTGTCGAATAATAGAGACGATAACCCAGCCTATTGCCTGGAGAAACTAAGTTCGAGTTTGAATCGGATTAAAAATTTTCATGAGTAGATTGACCCGAATACGTCGGATCCCATCTCTCACTAACAGCCCTGGCAGTCATGAAAAAGACTTTTAATGCTTATGGGGGCGAAGGGCTAAAATATATCAACATAAAGACAATCTTTAAACCAGAAGTTTATCTTTATAACGTTATGTAAAATGCTATATTTCTGATCATCCTGTAAAAAATATTTTTAAAAATTTGCTTAAAACATCTTACAAACACACATACAAACAACTGACAGACAAACGTTTTACAGATCAATACGATTTCTCGAAGGAAAATGTCCAACCTTCGTTTTCCAACCGAATTCCTATCTTAAAATAATTTTATAAACCGATTATATATGAAAATATATAATAATTTCTAAATATATGACATTTACTTCATATGTTTTCTCGTAAATTATAGTATTATTTCTGTTTATTATCAAATATGTCCAATAAATAGAAAAATATATACACTCTCCTTTAATGTTTTTAATGAATACAGGAAAATTTGCTATTAAATCTTATTTTATAAAATTTATTCTGCAAGCGAAATATGTCATTCGAAATTAACAGCAAATATAAAAATAAGTTATTTATAATGTAGTGTATTTTATTTTATTATAAGTCGAAATCGCGATATTTTTATCGAGAAACAATCGAGGAAAATTATAGACTTCCTTTTCCTATATACACGGAAAAACTGTTATTTAAGAAAAATTGTTACAGGAGTGAGTTTTCTTTCAGTTTAGAACTTTTATACAAAATATTAATATTTATTTTTGCACCTTTAATTATTAATGTGAGAACTACATTTGCATTTTGAAATTTTGTACAAATAAAAATCTGCCTTTTCAAATTTAAATAATAAAAAAAATTGCATTTTATACGTAATAATTACAGATAGAATTTCTACTATATAAGAAATAATGAATATAGAGCAGAATGTAATGAGTAATACATGGATACGTGCTAAATATCTAGAATGAATCTAGATCAAGTCCTAACTTTTCTAGGACACAGATCCGTTAAGAATCTAAAGCTAAAGATCCTCCCATAGAAAAATGCATATGTAAATCTGAAAAAAATAATGGATTCAATTTATTGCATCGAAAATTATTTACGTATTAATAGAAATAAGTAATTTATCAACAATGTATCGATGCGATTTCAAAATTTAAAAAAGAAATTTGTTTTGACAACAAATAAGACGAAATCCACCATTAATTCATATTAGAGAAAAATTTAAAATTTAATTTTTATAAACTTTTTTTACGTTTCTTCGGTTAGACTGTCATTTCGTGGATCCTTCTAAATCCTATCCACAGAGTTGAGGTTAAGAATCCTTGACAATATGATGTTAGCCTTCTTACATTAGAACTGTAGAACATCAGCAATATATGTCTGGTTTTAAGTTAATTGACTAACGTAGCTCATCTACCTTGATCTACTAGAAGGTCGCAGATTCCTTTAAAAAAGAGCAACTCTACTCTATGAAGGATTTAGATTCAAGTTCAGTACAGACCCTCACGAATTTTCATGAGTAGGCTGAATCGGATTTGTTTTTTCATTCCACACAATGATGATCGTTCTCGCAATTTTGGTTCTATAAGAGTGAATATCACACGAAAAATCCATTCTGCTTTTGGGTTGAACGACCCATTTTCGTACACTTTGACTGAAACTATTACAACTATTATAGAAATGCCAAAGAATGGTGTCGTCTAGAAACAGTCGCGTCTACTAAAGTCGTGTCATCTGGAAACACTTTATAATAATACTAAACAACGCCCCGTATGTAGTATGTTATAATATGTAAATAACCTACGACCTGACAAAATATATGTTTGAGGATAATAAAATGACTTGTGTGTGACTTCATGCTTCAATATAATATAGTTCAATTCATTCATATAATCAATTTTTTATAAAAAAAAAAAAAATAGTAATCTTCCTGTATTTTCCTCCCAAAAAATACAGGGAAATAATAGTGTATAGAAAGATAATAGTGTATTACTCTATTGATTAATGTGGTCAAGACATTAAGTATAGTAGAGCCACAAGTACTCTATTATAATTGTATGGAATGAATATTTAATTTTGTATTATTTTTTTTGTTATTTTGATATGATATTATATAGTTCAAAATTTATTTTCAATAATAGCTCCTGAATTTATGATATTGAGAACATGGGCTTAGGAATCAGGAGAGAAGCCAACATTCCTCCCAAATTCGGGCAAAACAAGAACAGAAAATCAGAGAAAACAGAAAAAGGTTAACAAATAATCAGTGATAAGAAATAAAAAAATTGGTATTTCTGTTTTTATTTGCGTAAAATTTCGGGAAAATCAACCCTCCCTACTCCATTAACCAAGGTATTCCCATAAGCTTATGATTGAGTACTGTATATGAAAAATCATAAATTCGATTTACGACGGCTCTGTTAACGGTCGTAAAAGAGAGGATCTACTGTATAAATACAATCAATTCATTATAGCTTACAATAAAAAATAGCCTACACGAAAAAAAAATAATAATAATACAAAGTTAATAAGAGAAACATTATGTATACGGAAGTTAATGAATACGGAACTCAAGATACAGTATTACCATTTAAATTTTAAAGTTTAAAGCTTATTTACTTAACAAAACATATTATAATTAATTCCTTAAAAGGTAAGAATGTTTAAATCATATGAATGACTTTTATGTATATTACTTACCCTATTTATATATATATAACTGTAATGTTTAACAACGTGCATCATACATATTTAATGAATTTAGTACAGAAGTAAATATTTATGAAAATTTTATTTTTCATAATGCATTTATTGTACTAGGCCTAAAACAATTTGATTTAATAAAAATAAAATTCGATATTTCTATTTATTAAATAAAACATTATAAAATTTAAAAAATATATTAATAAATTTAATAAATTATTTTAATATTTACAAACCTATAATATACTAAATTTAATTTTGTAGGAGAGGAAAACAACTTAAATCGAGACTTTTAAACATTGAAACTATTTTAAAAATAATTTATAATAAAAATTAATTTTATATTTTA